AAGCACCATTCCATCCTTCAACTGAAAACAAAATTACACCTAATAGATTACTGACAAATTGCCCCAATACCACAGCAGCTGGGAAAAAACAGTACATTCATCTTGTCTCACTCATTGTTCGCTAAGGTTACACCATCACCCATTTTTACAGGTCCTTGCCATTCTATTGTAAGACTTGAAATCAAATCAAATGTTGCAAGATACTTAAAGGTAAACCTTTCCAAAAATTGCTATTAGAGGCTCAGAAGGATTGCTCTGTCAGCCCAGTGCTCACACTGCAAACAGGAAAACTTGAGTTTGGATTCCCAGTACCCAGTTAAAAAGCTCGGCGGGCGAGGCACACTGGAAATCCCAATCCTGGGAAGACAGAGACAGGAGGATTCCTGGAGCTTGCAGCTCAGACAGGCTAGCTGGATCAGGGAGCCTAGGTACAATGAGAGACCTTGTCCCTTGTCTCAAAAAATTAGGTGGAGTATAATTGAGGAAGACACCTGACATCAACCCCTGGCTCCCACCTGCATGCACATGTGTGCACATACACATACACAAAGCAAAAAGAAAAAAAGTGTTGTTGAGGTTCAAAATTATCTACTGAACTGAAACCACTGCTACCCATTAGGTCACGTCAACCAGGGACCATTAGACTCAGCAGCAGATGATACCAGGATGACACGCTGGCTCTTCTAAGTGTGGTGTGGGGAGCTGACCAAAAATCTGTCCTGTTCCCTGGGATCTGAGACCTAAGTACCACCATGTTCCGGTGCAAAGAATGATTAGAGAGGTGTCTACGACAGCAGTTCTCAACCTTCCTCAGGCTGTGGCCCCTCAGTACAGTTCCTCATGTGGTGGTGACCCCCAACCATAAAATTATTTTTGTTGCTATTTCATAACTAATTTTGCTACTGTTATAAATCATAATGTAAATATCTGTGTTTTCTGCCAATCTTAGGCAACCCCTGTGAAAGGGTCATTCGACCCCCCAGGGGTAGCGACCTACAGGTTGAGAACCACTGATCTAAGAGTTTGCCAATTTGTCCTGTAGGCATCTTGGTTGATGTTCAGGAAGGAGAAGGGAAGAGGAGGAAGAGCAGGGTTTTTTTTTGGGGGGGGGAGGCTACGAGGAGAGGGGCACCCCAAAAATCAGTTCTTCCTGTAGGCTGAACTCGGGAATGTGGAAGACAAATTCTTTATTGTTTCCTACCCTTCTTCCGCACACAACACGACTATTTCGTCCTGTGAAGAAATGAATACATTTTAAATCTTGGTAAAATACTTGCGTGTTCCTATTACATCAAATGTTTCTATTGTGGTATGCAGATTTTAAAGTTACTTGTGCTTTAAGAAAAATTAGATAGTCTAGTTTTCTCAATTAAGACCATTTATAAATTACTATCATAAAATCCACAGTGTATTTTTACTGCATGGCTTTGTTCCAGGGCGGAGGGGGGGAGACCAAAAGGTGATGGGGGAGGGGCAGGGAAAGGACCGACAGTCCCTACCATCTAGGTAGGCGGAGATAGCTGTCCACAGAAGCAACCTCTGGTGAGCTGTGTCCAGATGGTTGTGTGTTCCAAAAAGCATTACCACTATCATCTCCAGAAAGAAGCAATAATGATGGACAGAAATGACATAAAAACAGTGAAAATGTATGCAAATATGATCACGTCAACAAAAAATTAAAAATTAACGAAGTGTTTCAGAAAAAGAAAAAATTGTTATGTATTATTACATTTTAATGAGCATTTTGCATTTTGAAAACAGGGAAAAATTATGCCTTTAGATCAGTCTGTTCCACTAATGAGGAACAGTAGAGTAATGAGGCTATCACAGCTTCTGTCCTTAGGCCCCAGTTTTGTGACAACGGACCTTCATACATTCATTTTCAATGGGTGACTAGGCAGGTTTGTCCATCCATGTTCACTCATGGTTGATGCAGAAACACTTTTTATTAAGTTTGATTTCAAAAGCCTTGTTTGGAGCTGGGGAAATGGATCAGTGGAGAAAATGTTTGCAGCTAAAATGTTTGTACTCAGATGACATTTGATGGGTTTTCAGTCTCCTTGATGGTATGTGGCACAATTAATGCTCAGAATTTCTATGTCTTGATCTTTATAAAATATTCATTGTCCAAGCCTGATTTTTGACTGCTTACAAATATTTGGGGACCATATTAACCTCAGCTAAAACTTCCTATCAGAAAAAAATGATAAATTAGAAAAGAAAAGCCTCATCAAAAGAAAAAGAGGAACTTTACCGTGATTCTCTTGGGTCCACACTTTTGTTTTGATTGCATAGTACTTTGAAGGTTGCAATTAACTTTTTAAACTCCTCTGGATCGTACAGCTCCATAATGAGCAGGCCTGAGACAAGCTTTTTACTATTACAAACATGTTCTGCAGGGGTTTTTTTTGTTTCTACTAATGAAGTGAAAATTAGATGAATGGAAACTTTTTCCAAATTTCCAAAAGAGCCCTACAAAAAGCTTCATTTTCAAGGGCTGAAGTGCGGACATACAAAAGAAGGAAGAGGAAGGTATGCATGAGGATTGTGAGCACGAGGACTGTGAGCAGGAGGACTGAGCAGGAGGACTGTGAACAGGAGGATTGTGAGCATGAGGACTGTGAGCATGAGGACTGTGAGCAGGAGGACTGAGCAGGAGGACTGTGAACAGGAGGATTGTGAGCAGGAGGACTGTGAGCAGGAGGACTGTGAGCATGAGGACTGTGAGCAGGAGGACTGTGAGCATGAGGACTGTGAGCAGGATTGTGAGCAGGAGGATTGTGAGAAGGAGGACTGTGAGATGAGGATTGTGAACAGGAGGATTGTGAGCAGGAGGATTGTGAGCAGGAGGATTGTGAGCAGGAGGACTGTGAGCAGGAGGACTGTGAGCAGGAGGACTGTGAGCAGGAGGACTGTGAGCAGGAGGGTTGTGAGCAGGAGGACTGTGAGCAGGAGGGTTGTGAGCAGGAGGACTGTGAGCAGGAGGACTGTGAGCAGGAGGACTGTGAGCAGGAGGACTGTGAGCCTTTGACTTTACCTGACACAAATGCATCTGTTACAGCTTCGGCTTTGTTGTGGTTCTGAGCACTACGGATCATCGTGTCTGTCAATCATCTCTCTCAGTGTCTCATCATCACCACAGTCTCAAGTGTCTCTTCTGGAATCCTATGACAGTCTTCCAGAAGGACCTCAAAACTGAGTCATTTATTTCACCGTTATTGGCCTTACCTGGGCATCTCTGACCACTCTGCCATGGAAAACGGCAGACCAAACAAAGTCTTAAGTCCTGTGGGTTTTGTTTGTTTGTTTTTGTTTTTGTTTTATGCAAGTGCCGGGCAGTGTGCAACAGTACCTCTGATTTAGTGTTTCATTTTACTTGAATTATCCTTTGGTTTGCAATTTTTAAAAATTAGCTGAACTCACCCCTGAAAAATAATTACTCAAATTCAGTAACAACTTACAATTCAAGTTTGCATGGACCGATTGAAAAAAAATCAGATCTGGGGGCTGGAGAGATGGCTCAGAGGTTAAGCACACTGGCTGAGGTCCTGAGTTCAATTCCCAGCACCCACATGGTGGCTCACAACCATCTGTAATGAGATCTGGTGCCCTCTTCTGGTGTGCAGGCATACATGCAGGCAGAACATTTTATACATAATAAATAAATAAATCTTAAAAAAAGGAAAAAAACAGATCTGACATTTTATACATAATAAATAAATCTTTAAAAAAACGGAAAAAAAGAAAAAACCAGACCTGACATTTTTGCACTGTTTCGCTATCTTATGTTTTAAAGATAGAATCTCCCAGCGGCCAAACAGAACAACAGAATTGAAGATTTCTAGTTCTGTTTCCTTTTCTCTGCAATCCTCTTTAAAAGAGAGACCATGAGGTGCTGCAGCGGTCAGGTCCAAATCAAACCTTTTATTTTTTTTTATTTTTATTTTGGCTTACCGTTCCAGAGGGAGAATCCACAATGGTGGGGTGTCAGAACACAGTCCAGGAATGGAGTCATATAAGGGGAATTCTGAGTGCTTGTTAGGACACTCCAGTGGAAACAAGAGCCTTGTGACCTCAGTTGCTTCAGGAATTGTTTTTGGAATGTGTTTTTTGTACTCCTTCCGGGGTAGCCAATAGGAGTGAGTTTACTTCAGACTGCTCCTCACGGCTGCTGTTGTTACTCAATTAAATGTCCATGCTTCCGTGGCACGGCATGTTTTTGCCACATGGGGCTTGTCCTTGTGATTGTATACAGCTTGAACTCATGAGGACTTTACTCATGGGACCGTTCTTAACCCTCAGAGGACAAATTGTGTGGGGCTCTGAATAAAGTTGGCTATCGCGTGCGACTTTAGTCTGCCTCAATATGAGCTTTGTTCTCCTGGGTCCTGCTGCCTTCACAGTGGTGACATAGGGGGAGGTACTATTGGTGAACTTATCTCTCATATAGAATACAAGTTAAACCAAGTGTAGTGCTACACACCTGTAATCCCAGCACTCACCGAGGGAAGGCAGAAAAACAAAGATTTCAGTATCAACCCAGGCTACATGATACCCTGACTCAAAAACACAGCAACAATAAACGTTAACAACACCAACAATAACAGAAGACCAGAAGAACAAAACAGAAAGGTACTGTGGATCCTTGTATGATGGGAGCTAACTAATGAATGGGAATTTCTTTAAGTTAACTTTCGTGAAGAATAAATCTTTATTAAAGAATATGTAATAAAAAACTGGGGGGTTGGGGATTTAGCTCAGTGGTAGAGTGCTTGCCTAGCAAGCGCAAGGCCCTGGGTTCGGTCCTCAGCTCTGGAAAAAAAAAATTGGAACACTAATGCACACAAACAGTACACAACAGTTCTTTCGATGTTAGACCAACAAAGGGTATTTGTAGAGAGAAAAGGTTTACCATTACAGTTGTTGCTACATAGTGACAGTAAAAATGGAAAAGTAGACTGATTCATACTTGGTTTTATGACTATTTTTTTTCTTTTTTTCGAGACAGGGTTTCTCTGTGTAGCTTTGGAAACTGTCCTGGAACTCACTCTGTAGCCCAGGCTGGCCTTGAACTCACAGAGATCTGCCTGCCTCTGCCTCCCGAGCGCTGGGATTAAAGGCATGTGCCACCACCGCCCGGCCTTTATGACTATTTTTTTAATTTTCTGCAGACTCTGCATCGCCCTTTGCCTGCAGGTAAGACCCTGCCATCCTTGGTCCACTACTTGGTGCCCCACTGGTCTAGACTAATTCTCTAGTCAAGAAGATTCCTTCCAAGGTCTGCGAGGGGTTTGTGCATAGAGGGCAGTGCTTTCTTACTTTCTTACTTCATGTAAGTACTTACTTTGCTTAGTCGTTGAGCTCTGATGACACACCTGTGTGTGAAAGGAACTGGTATGGTGGCACATTCTGACCAAAGTCACAAGTGTGCCTCTGACTGAGGCCCTGGCTGGAGTACCTCAGGAAATTCTTTAGAATGAGTTCAAATAAAAACCACTTTCCTAGAACTTGTTGCCAGAGCTTTCCATGCATGGATGCCATTCACAGCCTCAGGTGTCTGATGCCAGGATCCTGTCAGGCAGAAACAAGGCTAGTGACATGTCCTTTTAACAGTCACAACTGACATTCAGATTCAAAAGCAAGGCCGAGTGAAGGAAACATACTTCCTGGTTGACAGAAAAGCTAGGAAGCAAGACAAACGCGGGTCATGGCATTTATGCAAGTTTAAAGAGGCAGGAAACCGACAGTATTCTAGCCATGTTCCTCAAGAATGTGTTAGGAATTATAAAAATAGATGCACTGAACCCGTGACTCTCAAGAGGAAATTAAAGTGGGAGATGAAGGAGAAGAGGACTTCAAATTTATACACACACACACACACACACACACACACACATACACACACACGAGAGAGAGAGAGAGAGAGAGAGAGAGAGAGAGAGAGAGAGAGCAAATTATATGCATTTTAAACAAAGTAGAATAGCAAGCAAAATCAAACATGTTCTTAGATGTGTAAATCTCCCCACCTCTGGGCAGTATCAGGATGTTCCCTTGTCTAAGTTTCCCTGGAGTGAGCTTCTCTTGCAGACCCCACCTTCTGCCTTCCTCCATCACAGAAATCGCAGTCTGTTTCTTTTCTTTTCTGCTTTTGTTTCCAGTTGAGCCTCGGGAGTCTACATGTCCTGGCAACGTGGTTATGCACAGTAACTCGAATAGCCAGGATGGAAGCTGTATCTACCTGAGAAGGAGAAAAAGAAAAAAAAACATCGACATGCTAATACCCTCTTTGGGGAGGGCACGGGCATATTGGAGATCTCTGGCTCCATGAATGAAAGTGGTTTCCAAACCCGCAGATATGGCTTAATTAGCAGCCATGCTGCCTGGGCATCACGTTTCACTTAAAGGATTTGCATGCTATTGTCACCTGGTGACTGAGGAAGAAATAACTTTAATCGGAGTGCTGATAGAATGTAAATATAAAAAAGTATAATATATGGTCTTGAAGTCTATAGCAAATGGATTGTTTCCTAAGAAGACCTGGATACGCATACTGTTTGCACGTAAATAGCCCCCCACATGCAGGAATGTGTACATCTGAGTATGATTTTAAATGGCTCCATTTTCACAGAGAAGCCAGGGCTTGTTATTTTCCTGAGCAGGATTGATTCTCCACAGCTGGAGTGGTGCACACAGTTCCCAGATAACTTGTAATGAATTGAATTTTCCTTCAGCATACCTAATTAGTAACTCCTTTTTTTTGTTATTTAAAAGGATATGGACACTTTAAAATAAATGTATGAAAATTCTGCTAAAATACCAGTAAAGCATTAAGCCTTCATTGTATCATACAACCCAGAGTTTGCTAAGCATATATCCAAAATTCCTCAATGCAGTTTTCCCGTGCTGTATTTAAATGTTCACGACAGCAGCACTAGCAACAGTAGGCAAAGGTTGGAAGCCAGAGGAAGTCTAGCAGCTGGTAAAAGGATAAAGGAAATACCGTATAAACATGCAGTGAAATTTAGTCACAAACAGGAGCGAATGTGGATTCTTACTGCAGAGTGCAAGAGCCCGGAAACCATTGTGTCCATTCTAGCTGAGAATTCTTACCCCCAAATCCTAAGAACCTGGATGCTGAACAGGTCCTGTTCATTCAGATTCTTCAAATCTCTGTCTTCACTGATGGTATTTTCCTCTGTATTTAGGGTGAGTGTCTTTCCATGAGAGTCTTGCTCAGAGGAGAACAGAGGGAAAGAGAGGATTTCCAATGACCATTTAGCATCTGCCTTTTCTTTTTCCATTGTCAATCTACCATATTTTGAATACAGAGCTGGTACCTCTCCATGAGAATTGTGTGACATGCTTGGAACAAATAGGGAGAGAGAGGGCAGGAGTGACCCACTCAGCGTCCACTATTTTCTGAAATGTCAAGCTGCCAACTCTAAAAACCAAGAGTGAAAAACCAAATTGATGAGTAAGGAGGTAAACTGAGTGCTCCTCTGAAGAAGGTCTCTAGGAGGGTTGGCATGGGTATGGCATCTGGGGGAGGTAGAGGAGCAAGAGCAAGTGAATCGTAGCACATGGTGAGTTGATGAGGAGCACTTACAGAAGCACACCTAACAGCTTCTCCCCACAGGAGCTGTCTTGGGTGAGCAGGTAAGATGGAGGGGCAGGCCTGGACAGCACACTGTCGCTCATCTTACTCGGTGCCTTTTGGTAGACAGTGAACTTGGGTTCTTGGGTCTCTAGGTCATATCGGATGTTCCAGATGGGACCAGAGTCTTGAAGGTCCCTTTCCAGTTCTAAAGTGATAGTTTGGGATTTTCCCAAGCTTACCCAGTTGCTTCAGATTCTTATTCTTAGAGATCATTGCATTTGAAAAGAAGTCTTATAAATAAATGATTTCTGAATTCTCTTGTATTGTCTTTTTCCACTAAGATCAGTTAGGGCCTTAACTAACTGTGCTTTCACTTACCATAATTGAAAGAACTTTGTGAGCTATACAGTTTTTTCTTTCTTTTTACAATTTAAGTATATTTTGACATAATAACAGTGAGCTGGTTTTTACTCACAATATTTCTGACACTAAAAGAATACCCAATAATTCAGCTAAATACTGAAACTGTCTAACTAGGGTTAGTGTTAAATCCTGAAAGCTCAACTTCTCTGTCCTGCAAGACTTACTTCCTGTTTTAGATGCTGAACGGAAGTCCTTAGCTTCCCATGTTTTTGTTAGATCAACTATAAATTTAGGATGCCCATCACTCTGGTGCACTTCATAATTTGCCAGTGAGATTCATTTAATTCATAGAAGTGCTTTCCTTATTGTACTGATTGGTTATAGAGCATAAAACTCAGAACTAGGGGTAGTGAGACGGATGAAGAAGTAAAAGTACGTGTTGCCAAGCTGGATGACCCGATGTCAATCAATGATGTCAATCTCTGGAACCTGTATGGTAGAAGAAAAGACCTGACTCTTGCAGGCTGTTGTTTACCGACCTCCACATATGGCCGTGCTGTCTACATCCACATCCACACAAAATAAATAAAATGGAAAAAAGTAAGACAATAATAACTCAGAAATTGCCAAATGGAGGAACTTCATAGGGAAAAATAAGAATAAATATGAATGGGATCAGGAGGGGGTACCATCTCCCTGTCCTTCAGTGTGCTCACCAAAGTGGGAACTCTAAACCCAGTGGCTAGGGATTCTCATGGAGTGATCATTACACAACACAAGTATAGTTGTTTAATATAGTTAGCTTTTGGGGACTAACTCCATCTCCTGCCCTTGTTGCTAGAGTTTTCCCCAGTCCTGCCTGGCCCATGGTCAGGACAAATCTCTCTCACCCGCCAGGCCCTCAGCTGTTCAAACCCAATCAAGCAAACACACAGAGACTTACATTGCTTACAAACTGTATGGCCATGGCAGGCTTCTTGCTATCTAATTCTTCTATCTTAAATTAACCCATGTCTATTAGTCTATAAGTTGCCACATGGCTCGTGGCCTTCCGGTACTTTACATCTCCCTTGTCATGGTGGCGGCTGGCAGTGTCTCTCCGCCTCAGCCTTCCACTTCCCTGAATTCTCTTCTCTGTTAGTCCCGCCTATACTTCCTGCCTGGCTACTGGCCAATCAGTGTTTTATTTATTAACCAATCAGAGCAACACATTTGACATACAGAACATCCCACAGCAAGCCCTTCCATGAGCAATCCAAGCATTTTATTTTCTATCTGTCTGTCTATCTATCTATCTATCTATCTATCTATCTATCTATCTATCTGTCAGTCTACCTGTTTATTTTGTCTTGTATTTAGACAGACAAGGTCTCCCTGTACAGTCTAGGCTAGCCTTGAACTCACCATCTTCTTGCCTCAGCCTTCCAAGTTGGAATTACAAGCAAACATCACCAAACCAGCTGGAAATGGCTAAGCTCCTGACCAAAGCTTGTTCTTCTTGGTAACCACACAGGGAACAGCTAGAAGGTTCTAGTCACCAGTGACTCATTAGCAGATGAATGGTGCACTATTCTGGAGAGTCCAGAGTTTTAGAAACTGTGTCAGAAAGAGGGTGCAAACAAAACAAAACAAAATAAAAAAAACCCAACAAACAACAATAAACCCCCCAAAACAAAACCCTTGACATTTATTTATCTAGAATAATACTATTTATTTGTGTATGTATGTGGGCATGCCTGCCACAGCATGTATATGGAGGCCAGAGAACAGTCTGCAAGAGTTGGTTCTGATCTTTCCTTCACCATGGGGATCCCTAGGATCGAATCCAGGTCAACACACTTCACAGCAAGAGCCGTTCCCCATGAGCCATGTTTTTAGTCCCAGATACTTGTTTTTTTCTTCTGCTGTAGTCATGGAACAGTTAAATGTGATACCCCAAAGACCCCAATTTCACTTTCGTCACTGAACAAATTCAAACCTGCTCTGTCTAGTTGGCAGTGAAAATAACACATCAGGAAGACTGCCCTGGCTCTTCATAAAGACACTGCATTTTAATTAACTGTGAAAATGGCTTTGTGAGACACACAAGGACAGAGCTGCATGGCGGAAAGCTAACGGAGCCAGTCAGAAAAAAAAAAATATCTAGCTTGAGCTGTTTTACTTAAAACCCTCAGTTCTAAACTAAATAACCACTTAATCCCTTTATTTAGATAACCAAAGAACACTTAAATAGAAATTAAGAAAATGGTTTTTAGGAGTTTTCAGACCAAGGAACCCAGCTAAATGGCTTTTGTTGATCTTCCCTTGAGGAAACACAGCCTCTTTTACAGCTTCTACATTCACCAGCTGATTCAATAATTGGGTCCCTGTGACATGCCAGGCTAGGTGCTAAGGATTTACATGTGAGTGCAGCTGGCCTCTGCTGCACACAGCCTCTTGAGCTCTGAGGTTGCAGTCGGTGGCTCATTGGGCAGCTCTGGGAATAGCCCATCTCTCCCTTAATAGTCCCCAAAGCCAGAGGGTTCACTCATCCTGAGTGCCCATCTGCATCTTGAGAGAGAGAGAGAACCACATATCCTTGAAACGATGTCTAGGCTGAACTACTTAGGTCAGCCCTGGGTTTCTTTGAGATGTGTTTGTGATGGGTGTTGTTGGTTCACGTGCTTTATTTTCTTTTTGATATGTTGACTCAGTTGCTCCACAGTCTCAGCGAGTCAATCCAACCAAGGAGTCACGGCCAGATCCCCACAGTGCTACTCTTCCCTGAACTGTTTTGCTAATCTTACTGAGAAATCACAAAGTGCTTGGGGTGCCTCTCTGAAATGAGGTCACAGGGAAGCAGCAGCAGCGGGTCACCCCGAGCTACACATTGAAATAGAGTCGGCTTCCCTCTGTGTCACCTGTCACCTGCACCTCCGCAGATGATGACAGTGGGCAGGCTCTGCAGGAGAGTGAGAAGTGAGGGAGTCAGGCTTAGGGAAAGCCTCCTCCAAATCCCTCTGCCTCATCCCGTCACACGACAGATAAAATATCTCTGATATAGATAGCTGTATATAAACACAACCACAGCCAGGCGCGGTGTGTGTGTGTGTGTGTGTGTGTGTGTGTGTGTGTGTGTGTGTGTGTGACTTACTTAAAGTCACAACTACTGTCACCTCTGTCCAACCTTAAAGGAGAATGTGTCTCTCCTCTGCCTTGAGGTGACCTGTGACCTGTCTCCCTGGACCCTTACTATCCCCTTGATTTCTCTCTCAGTAGCTTTTCTCTGTTTTCCTCCTGGCCCTCCAATGGGTCTTTCCCTGAAGGCTCTAAATGTCTTCACATTCTGCATCATCAAATCTCAGGACAGGTCACAGAACAACCAGTTCCTTGTCTTTGACCTTCCTCTCCCACTCTAGAGAATCCACCTTCCTTTCCTTCCCACTTGTTTGTGAATCCACTGCGATTTTCCCAGTTCTTCTGTTCCCTGAACCAGCTAGGATAAAACTCTTCAATAATTTCCTACCTGCTCAAGTTAATCTAAGAGTTGAACCCCTCATCTTGCTGGATCTGGCCCTATGTGTGGAGTTCGACACAACACACCCTTCTTTTCTTCCAACTCCCTTCCTAGGGTTCCAGATGGTGCCTGTGTCCTGCTTTCTCTCTAGCTTTAAGTATTATTTTTCAGTTGCTTCCGTTGTAATTCTTGAAGTCTTTGTAAGTGTGCCATGGAATGATAACACCACCATCATTTTGGGATGAAGGACTATAACATAGGATGGAATAATAAGATGACTCTTCCAGGCACTCCACTCCAGAGTGGAGACATGTGGGATGGTGGGTAGCTGTAAGGTGGAAGTCTCGGTGCCCCCTTCCTTCTGTCCACTCCGGGACTGGCTGTACAGCTGCTCAATCTGCTCTGCAAGCCTCCTGTGTGTTCTTTTTCATCTAGCGCTCCCAATTAGATGTGGTTTCTGTTGCTTACAGACAGGAACAATAATAGATACTGGAGTGTGTCGATTAGACCTTGGGGTCACTCCCCTCTTTTTCACACATGACCTTTCTAGTGTTCCCGTTAACTGCTTTGGCTTTTCTCCCTGTTTATATGTTCTCGGACTCCTTATTTAGGTCCCTGACCCTGAGGTCCCTCGTGTGTCTTCTCCCTGCACATGCAATTCACTAGCTGCCCTTCTCTTACCTGGCTTGGAGGAGCCCAGAACCCAGCATGTCCCACAGTGAGCCTGCAGACTTTCTCATTCAGCCTGCTCCCCGATTTCACTGACCACCTGTCTTGGTTACTTTTTTGTTGCAGTGATAAGACACCATGATCAAGACAGATTATAGAAAAAAAAAAGTTCATTTAAGGCTTAGAGTCTCAGAAGGTTAGAGTCTTGGCCATCATGGTGGGAAGCATGGAGGCAGGCAGGCAGGCAGGCACAGGGCTGGGGCAG